TAGCATGGCGGCAGACGACAGGGCACGAAAAAATCCGATGCCAATCGATGATAGCAAATATCGGGTTTTCTAATTTTCGGGTAACGGGTATTATTTCGGGTAGGATCGGGTAACATTCGGGTATCGGGTAACATTCGGGTATCGGGTACTAAGCAAAGTTACCCGGAACCGGAATCATTTCGGGTAACCCGGGTACCTGGGTACCCGTTGTTATCACTATAATGCAGTCAATAGCTTAAGAGACATAAGAAGCAAGAGACACAAAAAGAAATTACGAAGCAAGAAAGTGTATGCTTTGTGATTTTTTTTATTTTTATATTATACACTATAATGAAAATAAGAAACTTAACGAAGTGGTTATATAGATTTTTTAAATAAACATTATTGAACAAAAGCAAGCTTACAATAAACAATAGTATGAACTTAAAATAAACAAGAATATGAACACGACATGTTATACAATTACTTTAATATTCACACATAAATAAAATTTTAAATTTGGTTATCAAAAATATAAGCCATATTTGATATTGTCAAAAATATTATTATCAGAGTGAAAAAGCTACCTTAAAAATTATTAAAATCTTGATAAACCCAATGTGAAATTGTTTTAAATAAAACAGAGGTAGGAACAGTCTTAAAATTAACATACTTCTTCATGATTAACGTTTATTTAAAAAAGCACTTACTGATAAACTTCAATAATTCTGTAATAAAATATGTCTACAGGATCGACATTTAAAATCTCAAAATCTGATCTACATTTCTCAAAAATATTTTATTTTTTTCAAAAATTGTATTTTATTCGTCCTATACCTATATATAAACAATTCTAGATCATAGTAAATGTTATTAATTATTGCCTACAGTATCATTTATAAATTATATTTTTTATAAATTATAATTGAAGTTTAAAAATTGTCCCTAATCTATTATGTGTTTTTAGGAAACCAAACCAAGATTTCCATTTCAGACTGAAATTAACAACTGTGATTAACAACACACAACAATAATTGATAAATAATAAGTAACTGAAAATAAAAAAGACACAACATAGAAAATGAAAATAAAGAAACAAGTGCGTGATAAAAGTTAAAGGACGTGTTAGTGTGTAAACCAAGCATATTTTCAGATTAATTCAAAATGGGTTATATATACGAATAACATAGGAAGCAATGTACAAGTAGCTCGAACTCGAATGTCAATTATAAGTAGCCTAATCTGGCGAACTATTTTGACGCTACTATCAATCTAGAGCAGTTTTAAAAGATATAATTAATAATAAAGTATATCTACCAACTATGTACACTACTTCATAAAATTCTACTTGAATTGTTAGTAAAAATGTATTTGTAAATCTACAATATTTGATATATTCATTGCTGGCGATGATAGTATGAACTGTACATATTTTGTTAGCTTTTTTATAATTTTCATCATTAAAATATCTTAATTCTATAGAGAGATTTAATATATTTAAAAAATACCTCATAAAAAATTGCTTATATTCCTTAAATATTTTTAATTTAAAATTATAAATAATAATAACTTAACTACAACTCTATAATACCTTAGATTTATAATTATTTCGCATATAATTATTGACCTAAATTATATTTATAATATATAGCATATTGAGATAATTGAAATTAAACTTAAAATAACTACTTTTACCCAATATAATGTATTCTTCCAACTTGATATTTTAAAATATAATTATAATGATTTTTCTACATTTCCAACAATTCTTGTTTCATCAGTTTTTGAAGCTACCTAATATTCATAGTTCCTTGGCAATAAAGCAATGTAAATCCAATTGTAAGACATATAGACATCCTGGTGCGTCTCAAAAGTGGCGCTCACCCCTATAACTTTTTTTATTTTTTCAGATAAAACAACGAGATTTGGTATGTTAGTATATGACATAAATTGGGATTGATTGACGTATTCATTTGTTTTCGATCACTTCCGGTTTCACCGGAAATAACTACAACTTTTGATTTTTAAATGGCATCCTCGGTATTTTTTTACTTTATTCGATAGAAAATGACACTCTGAATCGAATTACATATCATATGTCAATTTTTGACATAGTCACTCAAAAACAAATTCTATTTTAAATTTCAATCTAGAGTGCCATGGCTGTGTTAAAAACACTAATTTTTAATCAAGGAGCCTTGGAAAAATAGATTTGATCGTCTAATGTTTTTAGTGTCTTGTCCTGGCCGGTGAAAAGATGCCCAAATCTTATTTTTAATAATTTCTCAATTTTTTCAAATTGAACGCGGGTGGCTCATTAACATATTTGGAAAAAGCATTTTTTTACGAATAATTTGATACCACACACTTGGTATTTCGAGTCAAAATGTCGTTATGAACCGCATGTTAAAATTTCAAATAAACCATATGCCAAAATGTCAAAAGTTGATATATGATATGTCATTCGATTCAGAGTGTCATTTTCTATCGAATAAAGTAAAAAATCACAGATCAAGTTTGTTTCGCCAGATCCAACATCTCTTAAATATGAATATTATACCTACACTTAATACTTAAGAGAACTCAGACATATGTAATTTATTATATTATATAGTAATGTGATATATAATTATTGAAAGATGAATTCAATAATTCTTCTCAGAAACTAAAATTAATTCCTTTAGTAATAAATAATTGTAATACCAGATTGTACAGAATGAAAGCCAACAAAACAGAACAGATCACTTACAACTTTAGCAAATATTAATATTTAAGCAGTATCTAAAGTTATTATTCTAACCCGTATTTACGTTCTAGTATCTAAAATAATGGTTATTGTAATAAAAGCAAATTTATTTAGCAAAATTCAGCAAGATCTGCTAAATAAAAATTTAAGCATATGAAGTATTATGAAAATATACATATATTTATTAAATCAAAATATTACAATTAGTATTTAATGGGCTTGAATATGTTGATTAAATTATAATTTGGTACTGATCCAAATAGTCACCAAAAAGACTGAATTATAACCGACAGCGCATTTCAGAGTTCGAATGATTAGAGTGCGACTGGTTGTCGCATTTGCCCATTCACCATCAAACGTACGTATATAAAAAAAGTTATAAGGCAGAAACAGCTGAAAAGGCACGATTAAATATAAAAAACAACACCGATATTCTCCAGATCTTCAAGTTGCAGTGGACATCTAGAACAGTTATTTGCCATATCATTCGTAGTAATTCTGATGCTCGAAAATATGTAATTCTGTGTTATTTTACATTTTTAGTCATATATATATTATTAACCTCTAATTATTATTAAACATACAAGGCAACAAAAACCCTAAAGTACAGATATTCAAATTTATAAAAATATCTATAAATTTGTATAATACTTCTCAAATTGTATAAATATTTTGTCTGTACTAACAAAAAATTATTAAGAATTATATATTTTTGACTAAACAACAATAATTTGCTAACGTTGTTTTGACATTATAAAATAATTCTTGTAAATATCTTATAAACAGTAATGTATTAACGTTAAGGAAATGTGACTCATAATACTACACATTATGGAAAATGTTGATTGTATTTTATAATAGATATTAAATCCACAGGATGAGTCTTAAAAAACATTTTTATAGATGGTATATTTCCTCAGAAACACGTCTATGAGTTTTTTTACATGATTATTGAACATTTTTACTGTGAAGATTTTTTTTACTTTGCAATTTTTTAAAAAATTTAAAGGATTTTTTTTTAATTTTTAGTAAAAAAACTAAAATCTTCATAATATAGCAACATAGAAAGTCGATTAAATTTAAAAAGAAAATCCAGAAAAGATCCAGCGATTCTCAAGAGCGATAAATTATCTGAAAAACGGTAAAGAGAAAATATGTTTCTTTTATGAAGATCTAGCAGCCCTAAAATATTTGCACTTATTTAGGACTCATCCTGTATGTAATATTAATTGGTATGAAAAAACAATATGTGATTAGTATAGTTATTACTAAAAAGTAAATACTACTGTTTTGGCTAACTAAAAATCTGTTTATGAGTGAAACTACTCACTAAAAAAGGAATAGTAAAAAATCTCGTTAAAATATTAAAAATCTTTGAAAATATTTCAATTTAATTTCTTATTTATTTTTAATTTTAGATAATATAAAACCGTATAAACTTATTTTAATATTTAATGGTAACAGACATGCATATTATGCATAATTAAATGTTATAAAAGTACGTAAATATCTGTTATTTTTTATCTCTTCCTCTAAACATAATTATGCATTATTAAATTTTCGAGCATCAGATGAAAAATATTTAGCATAAAGCAATATTTAATGTAAAACTTTTTAAAATTTTGTATCATATGAAAAATCGGAATAACCATCGATAAAAATATTAAAATTAAAATACAATTATAATGTTATTTTATTTACAGAAAAAAACGCGACAAAATCATGCTCAAGCAAAATATACACAAAAAAAATAAAGTACAAAAATTAAATAATAATAGAATTTAAGCAAAACAAAACACTAATTCACTACAATACACCAAAATACTTCACTTTTAAGACGGAACGCGCGTTTCGCTAACCATGTTAATATCCGATGATTGAAACAGTTTTAATCATCTGCTGATGATGCTATAGTTACCGATACGCACGTCCAATGTTAAAACTGAAGTGTTTTGGTATATTGTAGTAAATTAGTATTTTATTTTGCTGTTGTAACGTCAAAGGTACTAACCTCCAACAGTAATAATAGAATTTAAACTTTCCATCAGTAGAAATAATTTAAACAAAAATTAAGGTATCTTCATAAATTAATAAAATTTGTCTTCCGATAAAAAAAACTAAGCTTATGTTAAAGCTTAGTACAAAAACTAAGCTAAAACCAATAAAAAATAAGCTTAAGTTAAAGCCACCATAAAAACGTCGAAAATATAGCAAAAAATTGTTTAATGGTAGCAAGCCTCCCATTTTAACGGTAAATATGTTATGGTAAACTCACCCTAGCAGCTATCGAAGTAGTAGGTTTCTCCAGTAGGTCCCACAGCCACTTTTGCCACTGTGAACATTGGTCCTCGCCTAAACATTCACAAAAAAAATAATTAAAAATTTAAAATTATCACCTTAAGAGTAAGCAAGACTAATATATTAAATTTAAAAAGTATTTCAAATTTATCTAAGTATAATATAATTAAATAGTAGAATAAACTAGGCTAAACTGAAATCAATCTAAGCTTTATATCATGAACAGTGATGGACGTATATACAAAATAAAATCATAAATGTAAATAGCGTATAAAAAAATCTGGGTATATACCTATACATTTAGATGAATACCCTAATTTTATAAAAGGAGTTCTCGCCGACCACATTGTAAAAACCCGCTATAACACAAGAAATATATCTACAATATACAGTGTAAGCTCAAAAATATTAAACCGGTACTTCTGCCAGTTGTCAGTGTCAAAAATAAATTACAAATTTTCGGATACTTAACCGTAAATATGCGACGCAAACTTTATAAGAAAAAAGATTTTTAGCGAAAAAATTAGAAGGCACATGTAAGCCTCGTTTAGAACATCGAAATTAGTGGAATAAATTAGTGGTTTTAATTAGCGTAGAAATGTGTTCCTTTAATTTTCAATGTAAGACATTCAGAAAGTCAAAATTAGTGATAGTAAAGCTTCATTCAGAACCTCGAAATCAGTGGAATAAATTAGTAGTTTCAATTAGTCGTAGAAGTTTGTTCACCTAATTTTAATGTGAGCATTCAGAACGTTATAATTAGTGGTAGTAATTTTTATTTATTGGAAAAAGTTAACAAACTTTTGACTTTTCTATTAATTATACCGTATGATCGAAAAAAAACGGCGTCCAGTTGGCTTGAAAATGACGATCAATGACATTTTCCCAATAATTTTACATATAAAATGACAGCGATGTTCATTTCATAGCCATCGCTGACGCCGTTTTTTTTCGATCATACGGTACTTCAAAATTTGCGAGGAATGTCATTTTGGCCTTTGATTATCACCCGTCAAGAAAAATTTTGGTTAGAAATCAAAAGTTTATTGTTTTATAAGCTAAATATTATGCTTTCTCTATGGATACAACAGACTACCGCAAGCTGTTGCTAGGATATTTCATTAATTTTAATTGTGTTTTTTAGACATTGTGAATGATCGTAAACTAAAAAGTATGAAGTGTAATTGAAACCACTAATTTATTCCACTAATTGGGAGGTTCTGAGATTATTAGCACTAATTTTGACGTTCTGAGTTCTGAATGCTTATATTGAAATTAAAGAAACAACCTGTTACTCTAATTAAAACCACTAATTTCGAGGTTATGAATGAAGCTTATTATCGTAAAATAAAAAAAAACAAATACATAAGAATCCACCTTAAGTCAAAAATGTATTACTGCACTGTTATTTGAACCTTGCCTACCACCACATTTTCCTATAATATCAGTAATAACATTTTGGAATAAAAAATTGTATTGAAAATGCATAGTTCAAATGGTCAAATAGTATATTTCTTGAGCGCTTCCGCTAGAAAGGTTAGGTATCTATCGAACGATAAATGTTTTAAATTAGTTTTCGTCATAGTTTAGTTCGCTTGACTTACATACCGAATTCTTCTTCGTCTCGTTGTCGAAGAGATTCAGCCTCCTTTCTCATTTCTTCATGCACGTGCTCTTTCCTCTGATGGTATTTGTGTTGGCAGCAAGATTCTAAATATAATTCGTCTACCTGTAATAGATGTAAACGTAATAGGTAAAAAGTTATTAGGTAAAATATGGTATATAAACATCTCATAATTCATTTAATTTCAAGGAATAATTAAAAAACAAACATTTTTTCTTTAGTTCTGAGTTTAATACGTAGCGCGCTGTTACGTACATATATTATTACTACTTATTCCACAATCTACATTAGAACTGTATATTAGCAGTAAGTGTATCGTGATCCGTGATACAACACCACCCCCTCCACTTAAGGCCATTCAACATGATATGCGCAAGGCAAATATGGCGGCGAAGGCAGTGCATTTTTAAATTGTTTACCTTCAACCTGAAAAGCCGGTAGTGGTTTCTCGTTCCGATTGCATACCAGAAATAATTAATTATATCTAGTTTGTTGTGCTTCTGCAACACGTTTGTTTAGTTCTTAGTGTTCAGTGCAGGGAGTGGTCAGAAAATTGTGATAAAATAAGAGTGTAATAAAAATCCAAACCAGACATTCCACATAGGGAACTTCAAACTTTTGTGCTTGTCGTACTCATGTATTATTAATTATTTTAAAGTAAGAACTAGAAGTATTTATCAAGATATTACACCTAAATGAGTAAAAAGCCTTCACCGCCAGTCTGCATAGTACTTTATAATGGTTACTTACAATAATCAAAAGATAGGTATTAAAGGGTTAACATTTTATTGTAGCATACCTTTTACATGCTCTGTTCCAAATTGTCACGGAAATTATAGAGGGGGTCCCAAGGTTTCTGCTTTTATATTCCCAAAAAATGACGAGCTTCTTAAAAAATGGTTGACAGCTATTAAAAGAGATAATTTCACTCCTACTGGTAGTTCTCGGGTAAGGAGTTCTCGGAGAGTGCATTAAATATGCCTCAAAAAAGCCAAAGGCCAAAACCTCTGTTACCCTAGTGAGGATGTTGTTATGGCTACTGCTTACTATACCTCACTATAAGTAAAATATTGGAAGAAGAATCAAGCTTTTTACATCAAAATGATCACAGAAAGATATTGAGAACATTGACATTTGAAAATATAAATGGCCTGGCTGTAAGTCCTTTTTTAGGTCACAATTGCCCCTCACATACGTCAGAATTATTTTATCCATCTTGTTCAGAATTTCCAATATTTTATTGAAGAACTGTGCAAAAAAAAGGAATGACGTCTTTACCACAAAGACAATGCCCTATGTAAAGAGAAAGAGAAGAGAAAACTAAGCTAAAGTATTTAGTGTTTTTCTATTTAAAATCTTGAAACACACTTTGTGTTTTTTAGTTATCCTCCATTTGTGTAATGCTCGAAACATAGAAGAAATATTCCATATTTTTTGATCCAAGCCAGTGTAGTTTATAATTCCAAGGCTTTTACTAAGACAAGTAACTTCCTATACTGTCCATAATAGTATATATTTATCAAACGTTCAGTAAATTCTAAACTATGGTAGGTAAATGTTTACAATTGAATATTTAGTTTATATTGCTATTTTCTGTCATATATATTTCTGGTTATTTCTTTTTCCGATGATTTTGTACACCCTATATATGCTACCTCAAGTTTGAATATTTTAACACTACCTATTTTCTGAGAAAGCAGACCTTTTTATAAAAACTAACATAAACTGATGTTTTCATAAAAGTAATAATACAAAAAATTCCATACTTATGTGGAGAACTTTAGACTCCCCGTATATTAAAAAATGAGTGAAATATTACGTAATCTAACCCGACATGTGTGTGAAAAATGTCTATTTGGAAATAAAACAGGGTTTAAAATACGCGCCAAATAAAGCACTATCTCCGCCATATTGGAAAAGGTTGAACGGCCTTAAGTGGAGGGGGGTGGTGGATACAAACTGTCAAAATGCAATAAAAATTAAGTCTTAAGTTTATGTAAAGTAAGATTTATGTCAATATATTATGATATTGAGACCTTTTTGCTATTTCCGTCTAATGGTAAATAGTATTAACACAACTAATTGCTAACAAAGCATTTTCGTAGAAAAAGCCATTGCTATAAACTCGAGCCATGAACTGACGCATATCAGTCCGTGTGGACCATCCCAGCATTTAAACACCAAACCCCTCAAGGCACAAAATGTAAATTTTATGTGTGTGTCTACCTTAAGAGACAAAACGGGTCATATTATTTGTACGCAAGAGTAAAAAAAAGTAGTATGTAGGTACTTACATTGATCATAATTATTATTAATGCAATAACTTTTAAGACTATATTTTGAAACATAAATATTCACTTTGTTTTACTTGTGCTGTTAGAAAATCATAAATATTTCATGTGTTATTAAAGATGGCTAAAAATAAGCTCGTTTATATTTTTGAAGTAAATTCGTCATATTTATTTTTATTATAATAAATGGAAGAAATATTAGATGCATAATTTTATAAAATCATTGGCACTGTATCAAAATGTGCATTTATTATTATAAACTGACCTGAAGCGAAATATGTTACATATTTATCAATAATTCAATTTACTACAAACAAAATGTTCTAAACAAGAGTTATGGAAATATATCTACTTTTACTGTTTAAGAAAATGTAGGAACTAGTGGGCTTGCAGTCGGAAGGGTTTGACAAAGAATTAATACGCTTTGTTAATTGTCAAGCTTTCGGAATTTATTCATTCCTTCCTCATGACACTAAAATGGAAATACATGTTATACAATTATTGCTCTAAAAGTTAAGAAGAAAAAACTTACTTAACGTGGTACAACTACTTATATAGTTTACTATCAATGGTTATTAAGCAACACAATGGTTTAATATTTTGATTTATTTTTAAAATTCCAAGGATTAACTTTTGTCCATTTCGTAATCCACTGTATTTTAGCAAATAATTGCTTTAAAACAAACATCTCTTTAAACAATACTTAACTCCAACCAAACTTTGAAAACACCTGAATGTAGTATTTAGCAATAAAAAGAATTGAAGATAGAAGCGTTTGTCTAGCAGGTAAAAAGACCATACCATAACGTGGTGGTATACCATGTCTAAAGTCGAATCAGAAACAAAGCACATTTAAATGAAAACTAAATACCTGAACCCAATGGACACCCCAATTCCAGCATCCTACCGGCAGAAAACTACGCCATCGGGGAAATGCGTACAACTCTATCTTCGATATGAACTATCGGAAACAAGAAATAGCCATCTTATCTTAGTAGTCAAGAAGCTTAAAAGCGATCAACAGCTGTATCAATAAATCTTGAAATTGGTCAAAGAATGGCGAGAGAAACTGAGCAAATTAGGCAAAAAATAAAGTTCTCCTCAATATACATATATACCTAACGATCTAGTTAGAAACAAGAACCCCATACAATCTACATCTACATAGTCACCTAATAAATAGCATATACAGGTGAGTTTGCTACGATGTTCTCTATGGGTATCACGGAAACTACTGGAGATAGAGAGTCGGTTAAATGGGGGAAAGACCAGAAGTTTTGTGGGGTCATCATAAATAAGGCCTTTCCGATTTTTGAAAAGTTCATGGCTTACAAGATATTTCGAAAAACAAATTTTGGCTATTTTAAAAATTGTCCCTAATTCCATTATAAGCTATTTTAGACAAAAAGTTTTCAGATAAAAGTTGTAGATAATCACATTCTTAAAGAGATCGTGTCCTCCATTTTTTTCTAAAGCCTGTCATTTTTGACATATAATACAAACATATGTTTTTTAAATGGAAACCATAGTTGGCCATGACTTCATAAAAATCGTCATTTTTTAAGCTTCTTGATGATATAAGCTATAATATCTTTTCTTCGAAAAATTACTGAGTTATAGCCAATTCTTATCATTTTTAAACAATTTCACTTAGTTAGCCATCGAAACAAGTTCAATCGTGTTTGCTCTCATAAATGTGAAGCTGTCACATCACAGCCAAACTTATTAAATTAAAATAAACAAAAATTGTAAATATGAATTTTTCAAATGAAGAAAAGCGTGTAGATACTCGCGCATCAATAGAGTGGTTCCAACATGACTTTCATTATGACACACCACCCCCCACCCCCCGTAATAAAAGAAATGTTAAAAATTATTTATATCATAATTATGCAAACGCAGGGATAGGAAGAGGTGGACTAATTGCATAGGCCTCCTCGATCACCTGACCTATCCATTTTAGATTTTTTATGCGGTATAGTTAACAATTAGGTTTACAAAAGAACTTATGAATTAAGAGAGGCACTCCAAGTGGCAGTACGAGAAAAGTTTAATTAAGTCGACCAGTCCTTCTGTGAGAATAGGTAGTAATTCGCAGTTTTAAAAAGATGCAACTCAAAACAATGGCGAATTTTTTGAACATTTTCTAAAATAACTATTTTTCTAAAATATAAAGTGTTAGTAGTGATATTATTTTTTTTAAGTTTTAGTTTGTGTAATATAAATTGTAAAGAACCGTTCAGTAATATATTCTGAATTTTTATAAGTTATAAATCATAACAGAATAAGAATACCATGCAATCTAAGTGAAATTAGTCAAGAAAGATAAGAATTGGCTATAACTAAATTTAACTTTTCTAACATGTCTTGAAAACCGTTCTCTGAAAAACGTAACATTCACCGGTCAACGGATCCTCGAAAATGTATGGTCAAGAAAAGTTGAACCTAACCTACACGCTTTTCTTCATTTGAAAAATTCATATACAATTTTTGTTTATTTTAATTTACAAAGTTTGGATGTGACAGTTTCACATTTATAAGAGCAAAGACAATTGAACGTGTTTCCATGGCTAACTAAGTGAAATTGTTTAAAAATGATTAGAATTGGCTATAACTCAATAATTTTTCGAAAAAAACATATTATAGCTTATATCGTTGAAAAGCTTAAAAATGGCGCTTTCTATGGAGTCTTGGCCAACTATGGCTTCCATTTAAAAAACATATGTTTGTGTCATATGTGAAAAATAACAGGCTTTAGAAAAAACGGAGGACACAATATCATTAAGGATGTGATTATCTACAGCTTTTATCTGA